AGAGTGCTAGACACTGAGTTCTCACTCAGCGTTACCTCAGCGCAGTTGCTACTGCACAGGACATTGGAGTTCACATATTTGGCTTTGTGGTTGGTATGATCTCTATACGTGCATACGCGAAAACACGTCGCCATCATAGCGGGCCGTGGTTGCACAGCACGTACTTTGCGAAAGATTACGTGGTGTGCATCACACGCAAATCCTTGTTTTCGAAAATGCAGCGTGTTTGAGTACAATTTCTCAATTATACGCTCATGAATAAAGCTTCAGCATGCCAACAGAGGTATACACTACAATGACGACAAAGACCTCAAACTTCAAACCGTCAAACATAGCGTCAAACCTTCACCCCTCAGGAACAAGCCGGTCACGCTTCGAAACGTCTGGTTCCCGAATATAATTTTATATGCGAAGCAATTCTTGGCGAGCGATCTTCGGTGACTTTGCGCGTATCTATCTATCTATCTATCTATCTATCTATCTATCTATCTATCTATCTATCTATCTATCTATCTATCTATCTATCTATCTATCTATCTATCTATCTATCTATCTATCTATCTATCTATCTATCTATCTATCTATCTATCTATCTATCTATCTATCTATCTATCTATCTATCTATCTATCTATCTATCTATCTATCTATCTATCTGTCTGTCTGTCTGTCTGTCTGTCTGTCTGTCTGTATGTCTATCTAACTATCTATCTATCTATCTATCTATCTATCTATCTATCTATCTATCTATCTATCTATCTATCTATCTATCTATCTATCTATCTATCTATCTATCTATCTATCTATCTATCTATCTAGCCGCCTACGACTTTTGGTATTAATACCAAACTTGGTATGGCATAATTTGACTGTATGAAAAACCTATTTGACTAGTCATGACATGAAAATCATGACATGCATGGCATGAATGTGATGATTTAGATTTCATAGTCCTGACGCTGTTGTGGTGGTTTCGTTCACATGGCATTTTGCAATAATGGTATGGCATGACATGATTGCATGGCGAACACAAGCGACTGACCCTAAACATGAAAATCATAACATGCGTGTCATGTAACTACATGACTACATGCCAAGCTCATGATGCGCTCGCAAACGTTTCGCTAGCGTCACTTCTACCAAATTTGGTATTACGGGACGTGAATGGATTGCGAAGGTATGAAACTGGTGCAAACATGATAAACATGAAATTCGTGTCATGTAACAACAAGACTACATGCCACAATCATGATGGTCTCCCAGCCGTTTTAATGGCTTCACATGTACCAAACTCACTATTACGCTATGCGAATGGATGACATAGATAAATGACACATACAAACATGATAATCACGACATGCGTGTCATGTAACAACATGACTACATGCCACACTCATGATGCGCTCATGGCCGTTTCAATAGCTCCACATATACTAAATTTGGTGTTACGTGACGTCAATGGATGACGAAAGTATATGACTGGTGCAAACATGATAATCCCGACAAGCATGTCGTTGAAAAACATGGCAACATACCACGTTCATAGTGTGCTCGTGGTCATTTCGCTAGCTGCGCATATACTAAATTTGTTATCACGTGACGTGAATAGATGGCGAAGGTAAACGACACATCCAAACATGACAATCATGACACGGAAGTCATGTACGGCATCATTTACCTCCACCTCGTAACGTTGTGCTGATTAACAAGTGACATAAGAACCTTTCTCATTTGTGCTTCGCATATCATCAATTCTCATGGTACGTGGGATCCGCTAATTTTTTTAGCTGGTATTTTCTAATTGCGTCTTTCCTATTTCAAACAGGCAGACTTCTGCAAAATATTCACCTTTGATTTTTTTATGGTTCTATACGGGTAGAATGTAAGTTGTCTACAATGCTCACGCAGAGGAAATATTTTTTTAACTTGCCCACCATCAAATTGCAGGAATGAGCCTCGTTCATTGGGGACAATTTGGTAACGCAAACAAAATAAAATTACTGCTGTCGCCCGTGACTTCAGAGTAGCAGGAGTCACCAGTGTCTGCCTTCGTTTTGTTATTAATTTATTGCTTCGTTATCCCGTGTTTTTCATTCAAAAGCAATCATTTGAAAAGTCATGAAGGTTGAGGCAGCTATTTTTAATTATATTCACAGTGACTTTTCCAAACACTCAACCTAGACATAAACAGTTCAGCAACGGCTCATCACCCGTAAAGGCTTCTATATCGGTAAGTTATGTGTGCAACACCTGACATTATCAAACAGAATATAGTGTCCCGTGGCAGTCTCTGCAACGATAAAGACGGCAGGCTACATCGAAACTTTAAAAAATATTCTTGCATATATTCAAATGATACACAGATAAAATAACGATAATATAATTCATGGAACAAACAGTAACATGTCTTCTTGCAGCATGTGCTTTTTCAGAAAATTTTGTTGAGGTAACCTTGCTGCAGTCATACATTTGGAACATTAGAGATTTCAACTGTGCTCAAACTGTTAACAGACTGTCATCAGAATGTTCAATGAAATGAATGAATAAAAGGGATGTTCGAGAAGTTTTTTTTATAAAAAAGAATGGCCACCCCATTGTGTACGAAAGACATACACTGAAACAGCAGCCAATGTACTCAGTAAATTTTAACTTCAGTTTGTTTAAATACTACGCTTAGCAATCGCAAAACGCTTGGGTTACTAAGAGCAGGAATAATTCAGTGCATGGCGCAGGTGGATCCATTTAAATGCGACATCCTAGCAAACATATCAATCCTTGAACATTCAGTTTTAATGGAAGATCACCGAGCAGAATGGTGTGCCCTTTTAAAAATGCATAGACGTGTAGCAACCCTATTTAACTCTAAGGTGGTTTTCCATGCCGCATTACAACCAAAAAAAAAATTCTGATCCATGTCCCACAAGGAACCACCACTGGTAGCTGCGCTCACTGGATAGGAAGCACTAAATGGACTTCGCTGTCCGGAGATTGTTGTTGGGTTCTCATTGAATCGAAAAGCAATGATGCCGGTAATTCATTTGTTCCAGCTGAATTTTTTTTCACCCTTCTAAACATTAGCATATTCTGAATTGAAAAACCCTCAAGTCCTCACACACTGGGATAAAAATAACGTAATCCTACTTTCATACTCATTCGACACAATATATTGAATTGTCATGCGTCACGAAAAAATGTACGGATAGTTTTAGATACGACATGTCAGCCTATACGTTGTGCTTGCGCCTTGGAGGTGCGTTAGTCATTTTAGGTAAAAGTATTTTGCTGCATTCGATGCACCGATAAGCTCATAGGTTGTCTTACGCATTCGCCTAAGTCGACTGGCAGGCGAATGACAGCACCGCCACGGTTGCGATCAATTGTATTGTAATAATAATAATAATAATAATAATAATAATAATAATAATAATAATAATAATAATAATAATAATAATAATAATAATAATAATAATAATAATAATAATAATAATAATAATAATTGTTTCCATTATTATCATTTTTCTATATTCATGACCATCATGACTATTCATCGACAGTATCGATGATGAAGGACATGATTTTTGGCACCATTTGTGTTCACGACTGTGGTCTTTTTTCTCGCTTGATGATGCATATATTGTCATTCATTTAAAAAGATATCTTGGATGATCGCTGTGCGTGAGTGTAATTTACGGTCGTGTCACCGGCTATTGCTGGGAACGCCATCAGTATATGCGCACTATCTTCTTTCGAACAATCCAATTATGTTCTCATAGCTAAAAAGTAAAGAGGTAGTTAGCCACTGCTTTTTTTTCCCTCGTGGTATCACATCCGCCGAAGGGGCAGCGCTTGCTAGTATCTGTTCACCAATTCGATCGACATCATATATCCTGATCTGGTGGCAATACCTACAACGCACCGCGCGTAGTGTCAAACCTGATAAAAAAAAAATGTTCATATGGACCTCGCCTTTACATGCCCGTACGCTTCTGATTTAATCCAGCCTACCGTTTCTCGGGGGCAGTAAGTATACAGCCCGTACATGTTCGTGTATCCTCAGATGTAGTGAAACTTGAGCCAACCTTTTGCTTTTAAAGTTCATAGAGTTGAAAGTGAAACTGTGGAACTTGTCTATACGCAACAGTGCGCGCGAATAGTGATTGGCGGTGTTACGGCCAACGAGTTTGTTGCTGGCTTTCGAGAATTTTGTTTCACAAATTGTTGCCAGTAAGAAAATAAAGACAAAAAAACAGTCTGAAAACCACTGTGCAATATAGTTTGGATCAGTAAATAGAGATTAACCCGAATACTTGTAACAACTGACCTTAGGGTTGTATAGAAAATGTTTATCAGATAATGTCGAGAAAAATGGCCTTTGGATACAGAAAATACTCTCTGCGCTTACAACACATGCAACGTTTTCGTTCATTGTAAGAAACCCGCCGTCGTCGTCAAGTGGTCATGGTGTTTGACTGCTGATCCGAAGGTCGCAGGATCGAATCACGGCCGTGGCGGCTGCAATTTTGACGGAGGCGGAGATGCTTGAGGTCTGTGTGCTTAGATATAGGTGCAATTTGAACAAACCCCGGGGTGGTCAAAATTTTCGGAGCCCTATACCGTCATGTCCCGCCAGATCATATAATCATTTTGGGACGTTAAACCCCAGTAATTATGAATTCGCTGTAAGAAGCGTTGAATCGATTCATCCTCCGGGAAGCTTATGCTCACTTATCTTTCACTTGGCTGGTTTCATGGGACAGCCAAAACGTTCAAAGGCAAATATTGTTTAACAGTTTTGAACTATGGAGCGTACCTTTAGGACACCTACCTAAGCTCCATAAACCTTAATGTATCATATACAGCGCTGTGTTTACGGAGAGGGTGGCTGGGTCCATAAAGAGTGCTTCGGCATCTGGCCTATAATAAATAACTTATTTAGCGTCCATGTCTGTTTCGTCGTATCTCGCCGTCTTGATTACATGCGCCTGATTTACTCTATTTCCAGTTCCACCAGAGACGCCTATCATCAGGGACAAGTTCGGCAGCAAGGTTGGCAATGTGACAGGGCCTCATCGGGAAGGCGAGGCCCTAACGCTCACATGCGAAGTCAGTGGCGGTAAGCATCTTCTACAGATGATTGCCTTCATCGTTCATTTCAGCTCTGACAAAATCCTCTCCTTGTCCCGGATTATTGTTTTAGATGCGGAAGCATCTTATACTCGCGCCTTGTAGTGCGCCGTCCGCGCCGTCCGCGCCGTCCGCACCGCTTCTCGAACATTCGACAGCTGACGCGCGCGCATGCGCCGTCGCCCACCATCTGTGCCGCGCGCGCTTCTCCTTCGAGAACATTCGACAGCTGACAGCGCATGCGCCGTCGCGCCGTCGCCATCTGTGCCGCGCGCGCGCTTCTCCTTCGAGAACATTCGACAGCTGACAGCGCATGCGCCGTCGCGCTGTATATATACTCAAGGTCGGCGCTCGCTCGCTCAGTTGCCGCTCGTCCGTTGGTTTGTACAGCGCGTCGACGTCCGAAGTCGCCGTGAAATAAATGCCAACGAATCCACAAACACAATGATCGACGTCCCTTCGACCAGCGCCGCCCTTTCGCATACGTGTGTACGTGTTCACTCATTTAACACCCCCTCCTACAACCACGTTAACCAATTTAGCCATCGACCCAAGTAAGTCGCAATTTAACACCTCATTTCACAACCACGTTAACCAATTTAGCCTTCGACCCAAGTAAGTCGCACTTTAACACCCCGTTAACCAATTATATGCTCCGCATCCTCCTCAGTGTTCCCCCGAGGGAAGCTGCGGGCAATTTTTTTTATTGTGATAGCATTTATATGGACACTGGACGGGTTTTCGTCCCCACCGTCACTATCATGTCCTGCATAAAATCCAAGTTGATCAAATCTCCGCGCACATTGTACGTTCTGGCCGTGGGTAATAGCGGACGAGTGAGGACGACGAACGCGCCTTAACGAGCCGGCCTATCTCCGCCACTCGGAAGGCGCATGGGCTATTGAAGCAGAGAGGAAATGCCTCCGGTGTCTTGAATGATCACGAAAAGATGCGAGGAGTGGAGTTGGAGTTGCTCTAGCAACAACTGTGAACTTTAACGACGCGCGTTAACTCGCCATCTAGGCCACAATCAGCTGGCGGCTCTTCTGCGGCGCTCTAATCGCGTAAAGACTGCGCGAATAGCGCCCTAGGGTGACAGCATTCTGATTCACCAGCGTTTTGTAGAGTTGTAGATTGAATTCGAAAGAGTTAGCTACCAGCCTCATTTCGTCTAAAATTACCATTGGTTGCTATAGCATTCATTGCATCGCCTTTGCGGGAAAACTGGGTTTGTATTTATTTTTTTATTTTTTTATTCGCTTCTATATGTAGGTACATATTACTTGGGTTGCATATTTCGTACTCATAACAACCTTTTAGATACGGCTTAGCATTCTCGAATGGCAGTGGTGTTTTCGCCGCGCGCAAGGTTAGCTGGTATATATACCAAACAAAGAAACTCAATATCATCAGTTAGGTGCAGAAAGAAAACATCTTCTGTGTGGTTAGGAAACAGCTCGCGAGAAACGTGGAATGCAATAAACGGTGGCTCATGGGCAAATAAGCCAGTTCTATGGAAAGCAACTGTGCACCACAAAGAGCCAAAATATAGGGTTTCTCTTCACAGACGATCTTTTGTTAGCCGTGGCTTTCTTTTAGCACCCTCTCAATCAGGGTTGAAAAAAAAATGAGATGAGGTTGCCCTAGGGGCACAGGAATAACGTACAGATTGCGTCGGTGACACCTAATGCATCACTTCCGCCATGATTTCCTGTCACCGCTATTGAAACTTGCCTTAGTGGTCATATTTTTTTTGTTCTTCGCTTTACTTTTTACGTGTCCTGGGAGTGTTTTTCGCGAATGCTTCTGCTGAAATTACATAACCTTGAGATCCACTTCCGATCTTCATCCACGCTCTCTTTCTTTTTCGCTGTGCGGTTGCTTTTCAATCTTTGCTGTTCACACAATTGTTCATCTTTTAACTGCAGCGTCACAGCCTCGAAGATACCTTGTCAGTCTGTTTATTCTCGACATATTGTCACGTGCTTGCTCAAGAAAGACGATGGCAGTTGTGCATGTGCCACGAAGGACTACGAAATGGACGAAGAAGAAGAACTCGCTTGCACGTTCTAATTAAAAAGATCGACCTGCTTCCGGTGTGTCAATCTCTACGGCAAGACCTCTGTTTTGACGTCGTGACACTGGTGGAGGTGCTGGAGCCTACAACCGGATGCAGGACAGCCTTGCTCGGACCCGTTCACCTAGTCCAGAGACCCAGCCCCTCGTCACGACTCCGGTTCACCGATTCAGTCGGCGCCTACTAGGCCTAAGTCCGGAGTCCGCACCTGTTCCGCCTCTAACCAGCATGGCAGCTCCTACCACATCCATGGCTACCCTTACATCGCAGACCACTCTTCCCTCGCAGGTGACTCTTGAACATCCTCGCGTTCCTGAAGTTTTCCATGGGGAAGAGTACGAGGATGTCGAGGACTGGCTCGAACAGTTCGAACGGGTCGCTGTATCTAACCACTGAAACGAACAGCACAAACTTGGCCGTGCGTATTTCGCCCTGGAAGATAACGCTCGCACGTGGTACGAGAACCACGAGGCTGTTTTCCAATCTTGGGAAGATTTCCGTCGAAAGCTCCTCGCCACATTTTTGAACACGGACCGACGGGATCGCGCACAGCAACTGATTGAGGCTCGCGCACAAAAAACCAACGAAACAGCCGCCATTAACGCAGAGGGTATGATCCGTCTGTTTCGACGAGCTGACCATGACATGCCCGAGGCGAAGAAGGTGCGTCACCTAATGCAGGGTGTCAAAGAACCAGTGTTTGCGGGCCTCGTACTAAATCTACCTACAACAGTAGATGAATTCATAAGAGAGGCGACTGTCATCGAGCGCGCACTGCGACAACGATACCGACACTTTGACCGCCTGCCGAACCACACGGCAGTAAGTGCTGCAGCTCAGAACACTGCCGTGTGTGAAAGTTCCCTGCGACAAATGATTAGGGAAATACTGCGTGAGGAACTTCGGGCCCTCTGCGTTCCTCCCACCCAACCGCTTGTCGCATCTGTTGCCGAAATCGTCCGCCAGGAGTTGAGGCAAGCCGTTCCACCACCGGCGCCAAGTCCTGAGCCACATCCAGCGAGCTACGCTGATGTGGTCCGTCGTCCTCCACCGTCATTTGTGGCGACACCCTTCCAGCCACGACCCGCGGCCGTACCTTGGTGACAACGGCATTCCATGAGACGACCACCAGTTCGCCGAACTGACTTGTGGCACATGGCCGACCGTCGACCTATTTGCTTCCGCTGCGGAGAACAAGGTCACAATGCTCGCTATTGCCGTCATAGCGATTCCGGCTTCAGGAACTTTTCTCGTCCCGCTTCTTTCCGCTCTGAAGACCGTCGTGCCCACGATGCCGATCAACTGTCGACTGGCCAAGCAACTACACCGCGTCGCTGGCGATCTCCATCTCCTGCGCGTCATCGTGACTTCCCTCAGAGCTACGCAGACGTCACCAGAGGTCGTCCGCCTAGCCCGCGCCGGGGAAACTAACTGCTGTGACCTCCGGGGGCAAGGTTGCCAATCGTCGAGACACCGAAACGTTCCCCCTATCATTGCAAGAAGATATGACGACAACCACGACGAATACGACGACGAATACGACGACGAATACGACGATGAATATTAATGCCGGTGAAGTTGTACGTGCTGATCTTGGCGTTTTCATTGATGGACATCACGTTACAGCACTAATTGACACTGGCGCCGACTTCTCAATCATGCGACAAGAACTCGCCGACCGCCTTAGAAAGGTCAAGACACCGTGGACAGGGCCACACATAAGGAGTGCTGGTGGTCAGCTGATGATTCCCATGGGTAAATGCACCGCTCGACTTCGCATTGGGGATTCTAGCTTCGTGGCCACTTTCATCCTGTTGCCAGACTGCTGTAAAGAGCTAATTTCGGGCATGGATTGTCTTTGAGATCATGGCGGTGTTATCAACATCCCTCAACGTATTGTGACGTTTTGCGCACATCTGTATGTCGACGACAGCAGCGACGAACTACTCGGTAGTTTGCGAATAGCCGACTATGTGACGCTCCCACCGAGATCCTGCTGCCTTGTGTCTGTGTCCAGTGGGTGGCCTTCCTATAAGGATGTGATAGTGGAGCACATAGTCGCTCTTTTTCTCACGCAAGGCATTTCCATCGCGAGAGGCATCCTAACGCTTACTGGTGGACAGGCAGAAGTGCTCCTCACAAACTTCAGCAACGAGCGCCGTCAAATCCAGAAGGGTGCCGCAATTGCCTACTTCGACGATATAGACCAAGCCGGGGATTGCTGTGCTTTGCAACCAGATGACGCGACAGTCCCTGCCTCGACAACTTTGTCGGTGGACATCTGCTCCACGCTACCGCCTTCTGATAGGAAGCGCCTGCTTGGACTTATACACCAATTCCAAGACTGCTTTTCGCGTACGTCAAAGGTCCAGCGGACACCATTGACCAAGCACCGCATCATTACTGAAGACATCACGCGACCGATTCGGCAGAACCCCTACCGTGTGGCTCCGAAAGAACGCGAGGAGACTCAGAGCAAGTACAGAAGATGCTCGTGGATGACGTCATACAACCTTCGAAAAGTCTTTGGGCGTTCCCCGTGGTTTTGGTCAAGAAAAAAGACGGCAGCTTGCGTTTCTGTATTGAATATCGCAAGTTGAACCAAGTCACGAAGAAAGACGTCTATCCACTGCCTCGCATAGACGATTCACTCGATCGGCTGCGTCATGCGCGCTATTTCTCTTCAAAGGACCTCCGAAGCGGCTACTGGCAGGTAGAAGTCGACGAGAGAGATCATGAAAAAACGGCCTTTGTGACGCCTGATGGCCTTTACGAATTTAAGGGGCTTCCTTTTGGGTTGTGCTCGGCACCAGCCACTTTTCAGCGTCTCATGGACACCGTACTATCGGGCCTGAAATGGCAAACATGCTTGGTTATCTGGACGATGTTGTTGTATTCTCAGCATCATTCGA